GTTGTGTGTGTGGTACAGGGTGTAGGTGTGTGTGGTACAGTGTGTAGTTGTGTGTGTTACAGGGTGTAGGTGTGTGTGGTACAGTGTGTAGGTGTGTAGGGTAGGTGTGTGTGGTACAGGGGTAGGTGTGTGTGGTCAGTGTGTAGTTGTGTGTGAAGGGGTGGTACAGTGCGTAGGTGTGTGTGGTACAGTGCGTAGGTGTGTGTGGTACAGTGTGTAGGTGTGTGTGGTACAGTGCGTAGGTGTGTGTGTGGTACAGTGTGTAGATGTGTGTGTGGTACAGTGTGTAGGTGTGTGTGTGGTACAGTGTGTGTGTGTGTGGTACAGTGTGTAGTGTGTGTGTGTTACAGTGTGTAGGTGTGTGTGGTACAGTGTGTGTGTGTGTGTGGTACAGTGTGTAGGTGTGTGTGGTACAGTGTGTGTGGTACAGTGTGTAGATGTGTGTGTGGTACAGTGTGTAGGTGTGTGTGTGGTACAGTGTGTAGGTGTGTGTGTGGTACAGTGTGTAGGTGTGTGTGGTACAGTGTGTAGGTGTGTGTGGTACAGGGTGTAGGTGTGTGTGGTACAGTGTGTAGGTGTGTGTGGTACAGTGTGTAGGTTGTGTGTGGTACAGTGTGTAGGGTGTGTGTGTTACAGTGTGTAGGTGTGTGTGGTACAGTGTGTAGGTGTGTGTGGTACAGTGCGTAGGTGTGTGTGGGTACAGTGTGTAGGTGTGTGTGTTACAGGGTGTAGGTGTGTGTGTGGTACAGTGTGTAGGTGTGTGTGTTACAGGGTGTAGGTGTGTGTGTTACAGTGTGTAGTTGTGTGTGTGGTACAGTGTGTAGGTGTGTCTGGTACAGTGCGTAGGTGTGTCTGGTACAGTGTGTAGGTGTGTGTGTGGTACAGTGTGTAGGTGTGTGTGGTACAGTGCGTAGGTGCGGCGGACAGACAGGTCTCAGTTGGTTTGGTGTCCTATGCTTACTTGTAATACTTGTAAATGACTGCTCAGTAACCCTGACCTATAACGTCTGCTAACAAACTCAATAACGTTTAAATGTTTGAGACAGTTTAGCCGTGTTTGGACCCAAAGCCTTCTGAATGTCTGAATGAATGAAAGTGCAGAAGTGAAAGGTTCAGTTCTTTAATAAACGCACTCCTCTTATCTGCATGTCCCATGATCATTACTCATGCTAAATAGCTAGGAGCGGTGTGTTGATTAAAGAACTGCACCCTTTAAGTTCTGCACCTTCACCTGCGAGTATGTTAACAAACCTTTTAGGTTAGTCACTCAACATAGCGTTAGAAGAGCCAGTTTTAAGAACACAACATTTAAATCAAATCCATGTCGTCAGAATAATTTTTTTTAAATGCTCCACAATATTATTGTATAACCTAAATACATTTAAGATTTCAATAGCCTACATTGTTATTAACAGCACCATCATTGTTTTTAAAATAGAGTTTTAGGGTTGATGTAGTTTAAGTTTGGTTTGAAGTCTTCTACGGTTGCTTTCATCATTTTGTCAGTCATGATAATTTGTTAAGAACTCACTCTCAAATCAAGAATCAACTGGATTCAATTTGAATGTTGTCTCTTTTCCTTCCTGCTGCATTTTAGTGTAAACACTGGATATGTGTACAGCCTTAGAGGACATTGTATTTGAGTGAATAGATGTTACATTTCAGCTTCAGGAATACATATTTCCATAGGTGTAGATTAAATTAAACAGGAGTGTATTCATTGCAGCTTAACAGGATCTCTTTCAGAAAAGTTCTCACAATCAGTTTGAAGGGACAAACATTACATTGAACACAAAAGACACAGAGGGGAAATTATAGAAATAAAAAACAAGGAAAAGATCTTCATTCTTGTAAACCTGGTCCTTTTACTGAACGCTGATCATCAATATGATTTCTAACACTGTCAATACAAATGCATAGGAAGGTTGGGGGTGATGAATGAAGGCTGAGCACGAGTCAAGACGGAAGAGAAGGAGACTGACAGAATAACTGAGATGATATCGAGGTTGCTTTGCTCTCATATTTACACCCAGCTCCCTTTTTACATTTTTATTTTAGGTCACTGAAATGTAATGAGAATAAAACCAGCTCTTTACACACACCCCGCCTCTCTGCATTTCTTGTAACCAGGTGCTTACAACTGATTGGCTCAGATTCCCTGTTGCTCCCTGCAGGAAGCAGGTCACTTCATTCTAAGAAACTGAAATGTGAACCCGTAAGACAGCACAGCAAAGAAGTTCAACTTTCCTGCCGAGTAACAACGTTCTAAGATCATCATACGGTAAGACACAGTTACTGTGAATTGAAATGTATTGTTCTGTATAATATATTAAAGTTGCTTCTGTTTACTATCCAGTAAATATGTGTGACTTCCCAGTGCTAGTGCCTCACAGCTATACAGCTACGTTCAGCATATTATCTTATTTAATTAGTTAACAATAGCTGAACTTAAAGNCCGATGTCCTGGTCAATCTTTGAGCGAACGAAGTAGAACTTTTTCTTCATATCCCGAATCGCCTTAGCGACCATCACATCATTTTCTCTGAAGCGATCAGCTGAGACGATGATGAAGAAGTCAAATCTTTCAAAGCCGACATGCTGCAGGTACTTGTCAGCTGGAAAATTGTCGGTGCCAATACCGGGAAGATCCCACAGTGTGACATTGGGAAAGTTTGGATGGGGGTATGAATGAACCTCCATGGTGGTTTCTTTATAACCAGTAGGGGCGGCACGCTCGTCCGTGTTGTCTAAGCCTCTAAAGGCGTTAACGCAGGTGGATTTCCCAGAGCCAGACTCTCCTGTGAAGGCGATGTTTAGATGGACATCATCCAGCTCTTTCAAATAAGCATTGATCTTTGCAGCTGCTGCGCCAGCTCCATGCGCTTGCAGCTCTACTTTACACATTTCTATATGTTCTTTTTCGAATGGATCATCCATGGCTCTCCTTGAACAATAACACAAAAATGAAGTCATTGCACTTTACAGAAAACATACTTGTGTCCGCCGAATGAGCAGCTAACTTTTACTATGAAGCAAGACATATGTATATAAGGTTGTTCTTAACCGAAGACCAAATGGATGACGGTCATTTAGGACACTACACTTGAAGTCCAGCGCAGTCACCGGGAGGTGTCCGGATTGATGTGCGGAATGCAAGTCGGTATAATAGGGAGATCTAAATGTAATCAATTGGTTATCACTTGAATTTGTCCCGCAGTCGGTCATGTGTGACGGAAAGTTTATTTCTCCGTTCTACTGACAGAAGTCAATTTAACGACTTGCAACTTCTGAGCGTATATTAGTTATTATCAATACTGNAAATGGCGCAGATATTTAAAAGGCCGCATATTTATCAAAAAGCCGCATAAAAGACGAGTTAACTTTTTTTCTTCTCAACTTTTGTGGAAAAATGCGGGGATTATGCGGCTTTTTGATAAATATGCGGCCTTTTAAATATCTGCGCCATTTTGCTGATTATGCGGTAAATTCTGCGATCGCAGAATCGCGTTTTTCTGGAGGGTCTATATAGGTCATAGAATGAGTCATATGAACACAGACGAAGCTCACTGGGTCTGTTGGCGTGACGATCATCCCTCAGATCTGAAACTGGCCTGTGCTTGTGTCTGACCTGCAAAGGGTTTCTGGAGCTCTCTGTAGTTTGTTTCCATCATCTGTGAGTAACTTCTCTCTTCTCTTTGTGACACAGGTCTTGAAAAACACCAGGTTGAGTCTCCACATGTCTTCCTGGTGTCCAGCTTTGATCTCCAGCTGTATGACTTCCATCTGTTACAGGAGACCCTGGAGAGAGAGCTTCCTGCACACAAGAGAGACACTCTGCTGTTAGCCTTGCCCAATTTTAACCTTGCGATCATCAAGAAGAAGAAAGAGGCTCTCCAGTCCAAAGTAAAGTACTTTGCTGCTTTATCTGCCCTCGGAGCAGCTGTGCCGGTTCCTGGGCTCTCTGTTGCTGTCGATCTGCCCATGCTGGTTACTAAAGCCATTCAGTACAGAAATGCTTTTGGTCTTGATCCCAAGTCACTGCAGAGTCTTGCTGTTAGTGCACGTGTGCCTTTGGATGATCTAACAGCAGAGATGAAATCACCTCTGGCTGTAAAAGAAATAAGCAGAGAGGTTGTCCTGAACTTCCTGCAGGTGTCTACATTTCACGTTGCTTTAATGGTAGCAGAGGAAGGGCTCAGATTCATTCCATTATTTGGAATACCAATAGCATCATCCCTCTCTTTTGCCTGCACCTACAGAGCTCTCACTACTTTCCTCAACACGCTGGCTGAGGATGCTCAGAGGGTATTCACAAAGGCCCTGGGCTTACACAGCTCAGTGTGATATTGTAAAGAGATGGGCAAAGGCATGTGATGTCACAGAGAAAAACTTCAGTGTACGAAAGAGATCAATTGAATTCATTATTGTGAGTAGATTGCATTGCATTGTATTTTCTTTTCTTTATCTGTATATATATATATATTTTTATAAAACGGACAAGTCAAATCAAGCAATCTGATTGGTTCTTAGCCGTGATATACTGAGCGTATACCACGGGTAGAATTGTAAGTTACTTTTCACAACAAGTCAGTATCCCTCCGCGTCTGAGAAAAACAGTATACCGTTGGGTTGAAAAGCAAACTGCTTCGCGTCGGGCCGAACCACGCCCCTTAGCTGTGATATAATGAGCATATACCACGGCCTGTCGTGAGCTATTGCTTAAATATAGGCCATTCAATATATATATATATATACTGCAAATCCTACACATGTATTTTAGTTGCACATTGCATTACACAGTTTTCCCTGAATCGAATGGCCTCTAAATTGTGTTATATTATAACTTTGAATCACAATAAAACATGAATAATACAGGAAATAATGTTCCCTATATTTATGATGCAAATAAGTATTTTTGTGATTCGTTGCTAATGTTCTCCCTTGTTTCTAAACAGAGTTTTGGTAATCTATTTTACACTTGATTAAAGATAATAGCTTCTGTCTCCAGTAGTCAGAATGATCCGCTCTGTCATGTTATATTATTTACAAAGGGAAGAATATTATGAACTATTTTGTCCTTTTTGATTGTTTATTTCAAAAGCTCTTTCCAGAAAGTGATGAACGATCCCCAGCCTGGAGACGACTGTGAAGAAAAGCATAAGTTGATATATCTGCACTTTCCTTGATGTCTGGACTTTGAATCTTTATGGTTTTTGCACTTATTGCAAGTTGCTTAAGGCAAAAGTAATGAGTTGCTGGCCCTCAGTGGTGACAGTGAGGAACTGCAGCTCATCATCATTCAGAGGAAATATACCATTTAATGTGTATCATCATTATTCTTATAACAACTGTATCATTATTATTAATAAAGATGTTAGTTCTTATGTTGATCATTTTCTTGATTTAATCCCAAACTGCTTTTTCCTCTAAACACCGATTTTGTTTTAAAGAACCCCGTCTGCTCTGATTGGTTAGCTGGCCGGCTCTGTTGTGATTGGCTCAGAGATGTCCCGCCCCTTAGCCTATCACGTGCAATGTGTTGTGAGAGTGTGTGTGAGGGAGATGAGTGTGTGTGGAATCAGGGTGTGTTGATGTCCTCCCACACAAACAGGCTCAGACCCGTCTCTACCCCGACACACATCTTCCAGACGGCGTCTCAGGAAACACAAGAAACATTTTCCAATTTATCTCAAGAAGAGTTTAGATTATATAAAAGAACATTTACTAGAAACACCCTGATGACTCTAACTCAGTCTCCATCATGTGTTAATAACCCTGATGACTCTAACTCAGTCTCCATCATGTGTTAATAACCCTGATGACTCTAACTCAGTCTCCATCATGTGTTAATAACCCTGATGACTCTAACTCAGTCTCCTTCATGTGTTAATAACCCTGATGACTCTAACTCAGTCTCCTTCATGTGTTAATAACCCTGATGACTCTAACTCAGTCTCCTTCATGTGTTAATAACCCTGATGACTCTAACTCAGTCTCCATCATGTGTTAATAACCCTGACTCTAACTCAGTCTCCTTCATGTGTTAATAACCCTGATGACTCTAACTCAGTCTCCTTCATGTGTTAATAACCCTGATGACTCTAACTCAGTCTCCTTCATGTGTTAATAACCCTGATGACTCTAACTCAGTCTCCTTCATGTGTTAATAACCCTGATGACTCTAACTCAGTCTCCTTCATGTGTTAATAACCCTGATGACTCTAACTCAGTCTCCATCATGTGTTAATAACCCTGATGACTCTAACTCAGTCTCCATCATGTGTTAATAACCCTGATGACTCTAACTCAGTCTCCATCATGTGTTAATAACCCTGATGACTCTAACTCAGTCTCCTTCATGTGTTAATAACCCTGACTCTAACTCAGTCTCCATCATGTGTTAATAACCCTGATGACTCTAACTC